AAAAAATGAGCTTGCTAATGAGCCAATGCACTGCATAAGATGATCTATTAATCGACTCAGCGAAAGCAAAATACTAAAATCCTGGACAGACAAGGCGTAACATCACAGGTCTAAACAATGTGTGAAAGCCGATTTCAGGATGTTTAACCAATTGTACAAGCCACTGCATTTCAGTTTTTTCTTAGTTCCTCAAATTATAGAAGTATTCCGTAATTACTTTTAAAAATCTCTTCAAAGCCTTCGGGAGTTAAAAAAACAACCCAAATTTGACCAGAGATAATATGCCAGGAAAAAAAGGTGGCCGGAATATCTTTTCAAATATTTGCTTTTAATTGTTTAAGATAATCTATCAAAATTTGCCTTCGTTTGTTCAGAATCCTTGAATACATGCTGAGGCCCATTCATCAGCAAGACCTGAGACTGGTTGCGGGTTACGAAACTAATCTGTGTTTGGAATCTGAGGATAATACATGGGAAAAAGGAAGAAAAATGCTGATTTTACATTTTCCAGGCCTTACACAAATCGAGAAATGTGTTATTAAATTTCATTTTTTTTTACTGTGATGGTGTTGAAGCAGAACGATACATCAACACAGATGAAAACACGAACGAGCTCGTCATGATGCCTTATTTTATGAATATGAAAAATATACGAATAATGTACTATTATTCTCGTATCGCTATTCTTACTCTCTAAAAATCAAGAAGTGCTGAAATCGAATCGTCGAATTATTTAGCTTTATGCACCACTATCATCAGATATCATGAGGATACTAAAAAGCAAGCGCAGTATACATAAATAAATAAATATATACATATATACATATATATACATATATATATAAGAGCATATTTTTCTCTGAATACATCATGTACATGCGTATAAGAATAGATATTCAAAAATAAGTATACATCAAGGAAAATGAATGGATGTTAGTGAGCCGAACGGAAAGCAATAATCATTTGCAGGCAGAGGAAGGCGGTGATGATCGATAAGCTGCATGAGGACTGCCTCATACCCATTTTCCAGAAGCTCGACTTCATTGATCGTGTACGGCTGGAGGCCGTCTGTTATAAGTGGTTTCGAGTGCTGCAGGTCAAATTTAATCATCAAACAAATGATGATGAGAACGTTCCGCAATTCGCGGAATCCAGAAATCAGGTGGCTAGCGATACTAATATGCAACAATGAGAATTCGAGCGAAAAATAACAGCAACGGTCTTCCTGCCCGCTTATCCTACGTCTACCGATATTCTTCGAACAACAACGCATCAGTTTTAGTTTTCACAGTATCGAACAAGATACGCTAGTAAGAGAGCCTTTTAACTAAGCAGACTAGTCAGGTTATGTTGTGTTCACAATATCCAATCTCAATTCCATGGAGACCTTAACACCCGCTGCGGTACGTTGTCTGAAGAATCAGGAAATCCACTGGACTTTCTGGCTTCTTTATTTCCTTGTTCATACAGGGAACAGGTAAAACGAGACCCTGATATTTTATTAGCCTTCTTTCAACACATCTGCACTGTTGGCCGACCTGGCAAAAGTTTTTTCACGAGCCGTTTTGACTGCAACCATTAGTGCGCGCAGAACTAAAGAGAAGTCTGATAGTGCAACAAATAATATCGCGACAAACCGCTGCATCCGAGTGCGCTGTCACATGCTCCGGTGCCAAACAAATCGTGCCTCTTACAGTCAGTACATTCAATTCTTTGAAAAGTTTTGCTTTAAAAGCTGAGGTAAAGATGAGGAAAACCAGCTCGAACTCAAATGCATAAAAAAAATAAATAAATGAATTATATAAATGTAACACAAAAGGTCGCAAAATCCTAAATAACGCTAAACACGGGAGGAATGAATGGATCACCAGCAGACCGCCTGGGCCTTTACCCTGAACACTCGAATCCGCATACTCTAAAAAGATGCGGTCATACGAAAATAACCCTCACATCAGACTTTTTGTTCCAAACTAAGCTCTGGTGTCAGCATAAAATAACGTGCTTACGCTTTATCGAACAAGTCCTTGCCAACACTTCCGTCAGCAATGCTGTCTCTACTGAGCTAGCAGCATCTTGAGCTAACACTACTACTGTTAATGTACAACGAGCATGTTACTTCAAACAGCAGAAACAATGGACCTCATCGTCACATAGCAGGGACAATCTCCCAGTTAATTTGCTAAATAATAAATGCATTAGTACCGTTATGAATGTTTTAGATGCAGGCAAGCTATGCAAATGTAACACGAGTTAACGTGGCAGACTTCCTCGAGAATGATTCGAGCAATTATTTCCAGCAGGTACCTACCTACCTTTCCATGAATTTCATCAACTGGCTTTTTGAGACATGCATTCCGGCATGATCCTCCACCCGGATTAATTAGTGGGCATTTGAGGCGGGTAACAACCCAATCTTGGGCTGGCCCTAGCAAACTTTTCATTTTTATCACATCGAGCAGTTTCTTTCTTTTTGTTTCCCAGGAACTGTTGCGACCTCCGCTTTCGCCAGTTTCTAAGGACATATGATTTTGATGCACTGCGAATTTTTCAACAAAAAAAAATTTTCAGGAATTTCTCTCATTTGCGCCAACAGTGATCGGAGTTGTGAAACGCTGCGGACGCTATGTACGATCAATCAGTTTTGGACAAAGATGGTTCAAAATTTCACAGGCCATTATTGACGCCATTGCTGAGTTCGTTAATATGGCAAATTGTAACTGCGCGCTTGCTTCTCTTCCAGTCATTTACAAATTACTTGTGTCGAATGATGGAAACTGAACAACATGCTAATTTAGACACTGCACTCGTTTAACGGAACTTGATCTTGGTTGTGTGATTCTGGATGCCGATATATCTGTGCTTCTAGAACGGATCGGCGAAAACCTAGAATCATTTTCACTGGAAGAAACTAGCTGGGTGAACAACGAAGACGGTGATAAGGTATCAAATTCTACCTAAACAGCCATTCATACATACGAGCAACACTTTTTCGGAGACTCTTCATATGGTCGCTTTCACTCATAAGTTGACCTGAACCAAATAAACAATGCCAAAAAGCACTTAAGAGCCAAAAAGCTCGAGGCTTAATTCTCGAGCATGCAACTGCCTTTTCGAAGCCAGTTATTTGATAAAGCTTTGGTGCAATTCTGAGAGAGATTATGACTTGGCTGACGCACTGTCCTCATATTATGAATTAGGGGAAGATGAATGTTCGCTTTACGCATGGGAATTCGCCTATAATGGTAGATAAGTTGCAAAAATTTCAGCTTCTTAGCTCTCACAGATCTGCAAATCAAAATATGCGGAAAGATACAGACGCTTATAAATACAGACAATTTCTCTACAGCATACATTCTGCACTGCATAGCTGCAATAAAAAAAAGAAAAAAAAGCTCACAGCAACATGAATTTATGTAAACATTTGCCAGCTATTCTTTTTTTTTTCAAAAAAAGCTCTTTATTTGCCACGCAGCGGCCAAAAGGGTGATCCTTAGTGGAGGAAAAGGGGAGTTTGTCAGTGAAAATGGGTAACAGGATGGGTAAAATATGTATTATACATTAACGATAACATTCTATCCGAGATGCTCAATGGATAACTGCTCAGTGATCATGCAGTCCTCAATATGCATAGATTTGTAACTGTTTATGATTATGAAGTCTTTGTATAGTCCATGCCATTAGTTTTTAGCCTTGGCTCTTTAACAGCATTTGTGAGTTACGTTCTGTAAATGACGATATTTCAGGTACAAAATTTTTTCCAGCAAATGAAAAAACTGAAAAGGATCAATTTAAGACGGGCTTTGTTCAAACTCGACAAGCTCTACGAACTTCCGCCTTGTCTTGAGTAAGTGTCGTTCTTTTCTCGCCAATATGATCGTTCCAGCGTTACTATTTTTGCGCTTTAGAACTTTCAGACAAAGGTCAAAACCATTTTTCAAGTTTACAACCTAAAAACTCAGTGCTTCTGCAACCTGAATTTTGTTTCGGGAGAAGGTAGAGTCTGGACTTCGCTTCATGCTGTATCAAATCTTACAGAAGCATCGAAATCAGTGGGGCACGCTCGCTTCCAGCAGAAATCTTCAATGCATTTCTTGTGTTGCATCCAAATTTAACGGAGCTTGAAATCAGCCCACTGCCTGTGGCAGACGATATGACCATATCATATATCAGCGACCTACGAACACTGCGGAATCTTCAACTGGGGTATATTCAGAAGGAAGCCCGCGATTTTCCAATGGAGCCGATCGCCTTTTGCAATAATTTACAGTGCCTACACATTCTGGCAAGCATTTTTCGATATTTCTCCTATAATAAAAAGACTAGTCAGAAACGTCAGTTAGCGCTTAAGGAGAAGGGGGTGCTGGATCCCTAATCGTTTAATCGCAAAAATGCTTCCTCACTCACAGCACTCGTTCCCCTATGTTTTTTTTTCCTGCACCGTGTAAAGCACGACACCCAAGTCCGACACCGGCCGGACAGAAAGCAAACCACTCGGGTAAGTCTTGAAGAGAAGAGAGTTGTAAGAAACTGGCATGGAAAGCAGAAAAGTGGGAGTAGGTAGCCCTGAAGAAGAGGATCCAATGCAGCTGCACCCTGGGAATACCAACAGTAAGGACAATTTCCCTATCAAATCCAGTACTGATCCTTTTCTCTTTTGAAAATGATGAGAGCATTGGCGCTTATCAAACTGGACCAGGATAGCAGAGGACAAAGTCCTTATGCTATCTGAGGCAAAAGTGCATCTGGCACAAACGTATTTTCACATGATCAGTCAAATTTTTGATTACTAGTCAAATTATCCAGAGCTCACGAGTTCCAGAACTGCAATGCTTTAACGGGTCAAAGTTTACGACTAATTCTGGAAAGCCTCGTGAACCTACGCTCTCTGGCCATTATTGGTTGTTCGAATGTGTTCGATTATTCGCCGCTGTCGCAGTGCCGTCAGCTGGAATCCCTAAACATCGGGCATTCACTACACATCTCAGATGAAGAGCTAATTCCACTGGCTGCTCACAAGAAGCTTCGCTCACTGACAATCACCAAGTGCTTCAATATCTCTAACAATTCGATACTTACAATTCTTCACAACTGCATCCTTAATGATGTAAAGTTTTAAGCCCTGATTGATTCTAATCTTTTTCAGTCCACTAAGTGGAGGATGCTAGACTCCGCTTTGACATGAGATGTGTGGAAAAAAATTCTATTTGCGTCTCCTTCCCCTCCTTCAAATTCGAGTTCTTCACTGTTTACGAAAATGATCATCATTTAACAACTTTCGATTGAGATCTCGCTAGTGAACTGCGAGGGAATTACGGATGAAGTACTGTATTCGTTGGCTTCGAATCAGCACGAAATCGAAACAATTTCAGTACAAGGCTGTATATGCATAACCAGGTTCCACGTGCTATTTTCTATTAAAAAAAAACGAATTGTAACATAACCAGGATCAATTACATTCTATTCTAATTCTTTGCCACAGCAGTGCTATTCAGTTTCTTAAGAACCCCAATTCCATCAAAAAATGAGACCAGTTTCTTACAAGAAATCTAGCTGATGCATGAAAACGAAACTTTCGCACTACTCTCCCTTTTTATTTTTTCCAAAATTATAACCTTTTCCTTATACAAATTTATTTTATTTCACATCATTCCCTTGTCAGCACCGCAACCGTCATGTTGACGCAAACGACTATTTATAGACCAAAGTACTCCTCTACTTTTTTTAAACGTTTTATATATATATATATATATCATTATTAGCGTCTCTTTTACAGCAAAGGAGTTGCGGCTCTGGCACTTATGAAAAATATCACAAAATTACGAGAACTGGACATCAGTCACAACAGAAACATTGACGACATGGCCATTCTGTCAATTCACAATGGAATTAAACTGGAAAGAAGAAAAGAAGCAGGAAGTCCAAGCACCACATACAAAGAAAATCAGCAACCCGACGATGTTTCTACCAGTTCCGTAAGTTGCTCACTTTCTGATTCTCCTCCTAAAATAGGACTTCTCTCAGTAAGCATCCTTCTTCAAACCCGCTGATGAAAAAGCAGCTGGAAGCCCTGTGGGGGGAGGGAGAGTCAGAAGCATAACGGTAGCAATGCTTTTATTACAAATGACTTTTCTGAGAGCCTACAAAAATTTAATTTTATGCATTTATCATGTTCCATTCTTGCTCACATAAAATGTGTCATGTAATTTTTTACAAAAAAAAAAAAAAAAAAAAAAAAAAAAAAAAAAAAAAAAAAAAAAA